GGGCTGGGGTGCAGTGGCATGATCTCAGCTCACTGCAATCTCTGCCTCTTGGGTTTAAGTGGTTCTCTTACCTTAGCCTCCTGAGAAGCTGGAATTACAGGCACCCGTTATCATGCCTGGCTAATTTATATACTTTTTTATTAAATATATAAAAGGTTTTGTCTTGTTGGCCAGGTTGGTCTCGAACTCCTGACCTCAAGTGATCCACCCACCTTGGCCTCCTGAAGAGCTGGGATTACAGGTGTGAGCCACTGCGCCTGGCCCATATTCTTGTTAAATGCACTGGAATTTCAGCCTTGTGATTTTGGTGATTACTATGCTAACATTTATGTTTGAATATTTACTGCTGTGTTTTAAACTATTTTTTACATCTGTAAAAACATAAATCAAGCTTTCATCAAGTTGAGGTGTTAGTGCCAGTGTGAAAAACAGCATGCTCAAATCACTAACTTTGGAATGGTAGTCTTTTTTTTTTTTTTTTTTCCATTAGAGACAGGGTCTCACTCTGTTGCCCAGGCTGGAGTGCAGTGGTACAACCGTAACTCACTGCAGCCTTCATCTCCTGGGTTTGAGTGATCCACCCACCTCAGCCTCCTGAGTAGCTGGGTACTACCAACATATGCCACCACACCTGGCTAATTAAAAAATTTTTTTTGTAGGAACAGGGTCTCACTATGTTCCCCAGGCTGGACTTGAACTCCTGGGCTCAAGCAATTCTCCTGCCTTGGCATCCCAGAGCACTGGAATTACAAGTGTGTGAGCTATCACAACCCAGCTAGAAGTCTTTTTTTTTGAGACAGAGTCTCATTCTACTGCCCAGGCTAGAGTGCACTGGCACAATCTCAGCTCATTGCAACCTCTGCCTCCCAGGTTCAAGCAATTATCCTACCTCAGCCACCCAAGTAGCTAGGACTACACACATGTGCCACCAGGCCTGGCTAATTTTTTTTTTTGAATTTTTTATACAAATATTTTTTGTACTTTTTTGTACAAATTTCACCATGTTGGTCAGGCTGGTCTCGAACACGGGGCCTCAAGTGATCCACCTGCCTTGAACTTCCAAAGTGCTGGGATACAGGCGTGAGCCACTGCGCCTGGCCAGAAGTCTTATGTGATAAGAAAATATGTCCACATAATTACGCTTTTGGTTTTCATGCTTATAAGCAAAAATATACCCCAGTGATTGTAATATGTGCTCCAAGAATGCATCAATCCTATTTAACATTTATTCCTATTAGAAAATTAATCTTGAAATATTTGAGCTTTTAATTTTACAGGGTCATCAGAAACATATTATCAAAAAAAATAAAGGCACTATCTTGAACTTGGCATAGCTAATAAAAGGAGTAGGTTAGGGTTTCTGAAATGATAAAAAAGAATGAAGTGAAAACTAGATAACAATTTTGAAATACCAGGTTAGGATCTTGAACAAGATAAACTCTACAATATCATGGGATGCTACCAGAATTAGTGATTCAAGGAAGTACAAGTAGACTGCCAGATTCTTTATATCACCATTGGTATAAATAACACCATACTTCATTATTTGGACAAATGAGGAATGATAAATGTCTAAATACTTTCATAAAGCAATCTTGTGACAATTTGAAATGTGTAATTATAATAAAGCTAACATATTATTTGTGTAGTAGAACTTTAATGAAAAAAAAGCACAAGCATATCTTTGCAATACAAACCAATTATTGTTATTATTACCAATAAAGACTAGAGCATTGACCAATGCCTTAGAATTCTTAAAACTGTCTTTATTAGAAAGAACTTTTAGGCCAGGCGTGGTGTCTCACGCCTGTAATCCCAGCACTTTGGGAGGTCGAGGCAGGTGGATCACGAGGTCAAGAGATCGAGGCCATCCTGGCCAACATGGTGAAACCTCATCACTACTAAAAATACAAAAATTAGCTGGGCATGGTGGTACACACCTGTAGTCCCAGCTACTCATAAGGCTGAGGCAGGAGAATCGCTTGAAGCTGGGAGGTAGAGGTTACAGTAAGCCAAGATCATGCCACTGCACTCCAGCCTGGGCGACAGAGCAAGACTGTGTCTCAAAAAGAAAAAAAAAGAAAAGAAAACTTTTAATTACCTTAAAGGTATGGGCCACATCTGGTACAACTTGCTATACTGACTGTTGCGTGAGGTGCACACATAATAAGAGCTCCTTAAGTACATGTTACTGGGTGACTAAACTGACATAACATATGACCACTAGGGGCTTTTATAGCTATGTGATTTCATAACTTCTCTTTGCTTAGCAAATGTAAAGGAAAAAATAAGATAGATAATTATTCTTTGCCTTTTGGCTAAGGGATTAGGAAGAAAGTGCTGGGACAATCTCCACTCAAGCCATTTCTTTAATCCTCCTAATACTAACCAGAAAAACATTATCCCATGTCTTTCCCTCCTCTTCCTCTCTCTATTTCCGGGTTTAAATCCAGTATTTTTAGAACACTTAAGTATAAAAATGATAGAAAATAATATTAATCAAATAGGTAAATAGAATGTGCCAGAAATAATTTTTCTTCCCTTACAGTTTAGTTGTAAATCTCCCTTTTTAAATCTTTTGCTATAATGCATACATAGGTTCTTACTTTTTTTCTTTTTTTTTTTTTTTAGACGGAGTCTTGCTCTGTTGTCAGGGTGAAGTACAGTGGCGCAATCTCGGCTCACTGCAACCTCCACCTCCTGGGTTCAAGTGATTCTTCCGCCTCAGCCTCCCAAGTAGTTGGGACCACAGGCACGTGCCACCACGCCCAGCTAATTTTTGTATTTTTAGTAGAGATGGGGTTTCACCATGTTGGCCAGGATGGTCTCTATCTCTTGACCTCGTGATCCGCCCACCTTGGCCTCGCAAAGTGCTGGGATTACAGGCGTGAGCCACTGTGCCTGGTCAGGTTCTCACTTTTTAAATTAAATACAGAAATATATGGAAATTTGGTCACACACACACACACACACACACACACACACACACACACACACAAAACCCATATAAAAACAGTGAAGGAATTTTAAGGGTAGTTATCTTTATATAGTGAAGCTAAATGTAATTTTCAGTTTCTTCTTTATACTTTTAAATTATTAAGATAAAATAGGTAATATTTTTTACAATCAGGAAAACATGTTACTGTAATTGTGAAAAATGTAATTATTTTTTTGAAATGGAGTGTCCCTCTTATCGCCCAGGCTGAAGTGCAATGGCATGATTTCAGCTCACTGCAACGTCTGCCTCTTGGAGGCAGAGTCATTCTCCTGCCTCAGCCTCCCAAGTAGGTAGGATTACAGGCATGCACCACCATGCCAGGCAAATTTTGTATTTTTAGTAGAGATGGGGTTTCACCATGTTGATCAGAGTGGTCTCAAACTTCTGACCTCAGGTGATCTGCTCTCCTCAGCCTCCCAGAGGGCTGGGATTATAGGTGTGAGCCACTGCGCCCGGCCTAACTTTTGATTATTCACATTTAATTACATTTTACATTGCCAATATTTATCTAAAATGGCTCCTGACATCTAAAATATTCATGCTCACAAGGTATGTTACTGTAAGAAACAAATTTCATTGATAATCTAAACAAAATCATTAAATATATGGATAATGAAAAAATTTCAAAATGAATTCTGAAGATAAATATTAAAGACTTGGCATAGTTAGTCTGAAGTGAAATTTTGTTAGTTTTTGTAAATTTAAGATTTGGGCCTGAGAACACAACTGCTTACACAAACCCATAACTATAATTCTTTCTCCCTACTATGAAGTTAAATTTCATATTCTCGGAACTATCATTTCCCCAACAGACACTTAGTTCACCATTGTATTTCACACAAACAGATGTCTTTCCTCTACCCTCACCTGTGGCTTTCTTCAACTGCACTTCCATTCTGACTTCATGACCTGGCCTTTTAAATTCCAGAAACTCCAGAATTTAGTGATACATATCACAGAAGAAACTAAGGAAATAACAATTATTTTGTTATAATAATTAATGGAATTATAAACATAACATTCTTTGCTGATAGAATATGTAAATTTGTATACACGGTTAAATTCTCTTAAAGGAAACATTTTGGCATGTTTTCACCCCAAAAATGTTATGTAGCATAAGGTAAGAAGAATCCATTGTCTTTAAAAGTTCTTACCTCATCAAATCCAGCAGCTTGTAAGTCTTGAAGCATTTGTGGATTAACTTCTGAAGTACTACGAGAATTTGTTTCATTTGCAAATGGAAGCAGAGAATTTCGAATTTCCTGCAAGGCTTTATGATGTGTCCCAAATTTGGGTGGATTTCTGACTTGTCGAGGATCTTCAGTTGACATTTTACTCATGTTATGCTCAGCCTTAGCAGCATCTGATGGTTTAGATAAATTCCTAAGGGATTCCCGAATTTCTTGTAACATTTGCCGGCTACTGCCAGTATAGTTACTGGCAGGAAAGGTCTTAGGCCTCATTTGTCTATATCCTTCTGGCTTTTCACTCCTCTTCATGAAAACATCTATATATGTAGCCCACACGAAAGACTTCTTTATTTGATAGATCCAGAGCTTTCTTCTGAGCAAAAGTGAAAATGATCCTTCAAGGAAGTCCCCAGGACTATTAAAATTCTTTACAATATAAATAATTAACTCTATAAAAGAAAGAAAGAAAGGAAAGCTATAAAGTGATTAATAAAGCGTATTAGAGGAAAAGTCCATTGACACAGGGGTTAAGAGATTCAGGTTATAGTTCTGACTCCATTAAGGATTATTCCGGGATCAGAACAAGTTACTTATCTCTCCATGCCTACTTCCTAGCCTATAACATAGATTTACCTTAAGTAGTAGCTATGACAATTAAAAAAAAAAAAAAAGAGTTCTTTAGTAAACATATAACGCATATATACAAATGCAAGAGATATTAAGTGAACAATAAAATAGGTAACCTCTCATTACCAATTTCATCTAGTGGATCGAATTTTAAATTTTACAGATCAGACTTCAATATTTCTTTAGAAGGGTACTGTTGCTTTAATTTTTTTTTTTTGAGACAGAATCTTGTTCTGTCACCCAGGCTGGAGTGCAGGAGTGCAGAGGTGCGACCTTGGCTCACTGCAACCTCCGCCTTTCAGATTCAAGTGATTCTCATGCCTCAGCATCCCAAGTAGTTGTGATTACAGGCATGTGCCATCATACCCAGCTAATTTTTTTATTTTTTAGTAGAGATGGGGTTTTACTATGTTGGTGAGGCTGATCTCAAACTCCTGGCCTCAAGTGATCCACCTGCTTTGGCTTCCCAAAGTGCTGGGATTTCAGGCTTAAGCCACTGCTTTAAAAAGATTTTTAAACCACTATTCCAGAAGGCCCCTTTAGGCTTCAAAAACATGCCTGAGTGTATTTCCCAAGCTGTGAACTAGGACTGTGATATGGTTTGGATCTATGTCCCCACCAAATCTCATGTCTAACTGTAGTCTCCAATGTTGAAAGTGGGGCCTGGCGGGAGGTGGTTGGATCTTGCAGATCAATCTCTTGAATGGCTTAGCACCATCCCCTTGGTATTATCCTCACCACTGTGATTAAGTTCTCGTGAGATGTGGTTGTTTAAAAGTGTGCAGCACCTCCCTCCTCACTGTCTCTTGCTCCTGCTATGTAAAACCCCTTGCTCCCACTTTGTCTTCTGCAATAATTTGAAGTTTCTGGAGGCCTCCCCAGAAGCTGAGCAGATACCAGCATCATGCTTTCAGTATAGCCTGCAGAACCATGAGCCAATTAAATCTCTTTTCTTTATAAATTACCTATTCTAAAGTTATTTCTTTATAGCAGTGAGAAAATGAACTAAAATACGCTCTAAAGACAGAAGGCTTATCAGCAATGGGACAGGGAAAGGCTGTCAGGTCAACTTGTCTTATTCCTCAGTTAATGCATGAATGTCTTCAAGAACAGCCATCTTCTGGCTACGAAGCTGGGTACCAGTGGCTCCCGCCTGTACTCCCAATACTTTGGAGTCCAAGGGAAACATACGGCTTGAGCCCAGGAGTTTGAGACTAGTCTGTGCAACACAGTGAAACCTCATCTCTATGAAAAATTTAAAAATTAACCAAGCATGGTGGTGTATACTTGCAGTTCCAGCTACTTAAGAGGTTGAGGCAGGAGGATCACTTGATCCCACATCAAAGTTGTAGTGAGCCATGGCTGCGCCACTGTGCTCTAGCATGGGTAACAGAGACATACCCTGTCTCAAAAAAAAAAAAAAAAAAAAAAAAAAAAAAAAAAAAAAAAAAAAAAAAAAAAAAAAAAAAGGCTGCTTAAATGTCCCCCACTGATAGGAAAATCACTAACACATGAAAGTCATTCAATTTGTGTTCTGCAATAATTGTCAGAAATGTTTTCTTTGTATGGAGCATTATGAAATCTCACTCAGTGCCTAATAAGAGCCTGTTATGGGCCAGTGCTCGATGCTTTTGCCTAACCCTTTTATCCAGCCTTCCAAAAAGTTCTGTGAGCTAGGTTTGTTATCTCTACTTTGTAGACATAAAAACTGAAGTTCAGAGAGTTTGGGTAAAATAGTGTGTAAGTAGTACTGCTGGTTTTTGAAACTATTATTATCATCTATAGGAAGTCTATTTCTAATCTAATTAAATGTAATTACCATTCATGTTACATAAAGATATCTATAGATAGACATATAAACATTGCCTTTCTGTCATTTAGGTATCAGCACTGTTACCTCCTAAATGAGTTTTCCTTGGTCACTTAATTATCCTGTTTTATTTTCTTGACAGTACTTGTCACTATCTAAAATGATCTTACCTGTTTACTTGTTAAAGTAAACAGGTAAGATCAAGAAACTTGTCCATTTCCCCTCACTGAAACAAAAGCATCATGAAAGAAGAGGGCCTTGTTTGTCTTGTAACTGCTGTCCATCCACCATCTATAACAGGATGTGACACATAGTGGGTGCTTAATAAATACACATTGAACAAATAAAATAAATATGTATCTCCTAAACATCCCTAGTTCCTTTTACTGCTCCCTAATTCTAGTCATGCTTTTCTGGATACACTCTAATTTGTCAAAATCCTGTGAGTACTAGAAAACCACAGCACTTATAATGAAAAAACAACAAAAAATGAGATTGAAGTACTTGTTCAGGGGCTGGGGATGGTGGCTCAGGCCTATAAGCACAGCACTTTGCGAGGCCAAGGAGAGGACTGCTTGATCTCAGGAGTTTAAGACCACCCTGAGGAACATAGGGAGACTACGTCTACATTAAAACAACAACAAAACAACAACAAAAAAGAACAACTTGTTCTGTTAAATTAGTAGCAATGTGGACTTCGCCATTTAATTCTCTGAAACTGACTCCTGAGACATAAAGTGGTTATCAACATCTACTTTATAAATTGAACTAGGATTAAGAGGAACAATGCAACACAAGTAAAGGAATACACATACACTCAAGTATGTGAAGATGTAGGCTGCTCCTTACAACATCATTTATAACAGCAAAAGTTGAAACCAGTCTAGATATTTAATCAGTGGAAGATTGTTCAAGTAATTCATAGTACATTTATATAATATACATCTAAGTCAAAAAGAATGATGTTCTATACAATGTACAGACATAAACGATACCCAAATGTATCCTAAGCAAAAAAAGCAAATTCACCATACAGTATATAAAACTAACTTTTCTGTTCTAAAATTAGATTATGATGACTTATTGCTCTGTAAATATGGTTAAAAAAACCACTTTAAATGGGTAAACTTAGGGATTTTGTTTTGTTTTGTTTTGTTTTGTTTTTTTGAGACAGGGTCTCATTCTGTGGCCCAGGCTGGAGTACAGTGGTGTGATCACAGCTCACTGCAGCCTCAACTTCCTGTGCTCATGTGACCCTCCTGCCTCAGCCTCCTGAGTAGCTGGGAATGCAGGCACATGCCACCCTGCCCAACTGATTTGTTAATTTTTTGTAAAACAGAGTCTCCCTATCTTGCCCAGGCTGGTCTTGAACTTCTGGGTTCAAGTGCTCAGGTAAGCCTCCTGCCTCAACCTCCCAAAGTGCTGGGATGATAGGCGTGAGCCACCCCCACCTAGCCTGAGTAAATTTTATGGTATGTAAATTATATGTTAATAGAGCTATTAAAAATATACTCACTTTAAATTCTTAAAAATTTATATTTATAGAAATTAATTATACACACACACATATATTTGCAGCAGGCCTGAGACAGGACAAAGCCCTGTAGCAACCACTAGAGGTAGTTTCCTGATGACTTTACCTCATAAATCAGTAATCTCATGGTACAATTGCTAAATTAGTTACAAATCAATCACAAGCAGCTCACATTTCTCTACTTTAAAAAAAAATAAGCTTTTTCATTGTCTGAAAATTACACATATTCTGTCTATAACATAATAATACATGAGTAATTATTTCATAAATGAAATTAGGATGGACATACCTTGTGCTTTTATGAAGGAAGCTGGTCCCTAAAGCATTTTCTTTTCTAAGCTTTCCCAAAAATATTAACTTAACAGCTTACTAACACATTTTTCTAGGCTTAACATTTAGCTCACCAGTCTAACGTTTACAGAATTCACTTCTGGCCCTTTCTAAAAGTAAAGATTCTTTCTTTCTTTCTTTTTTTTTTTTTAAAGATGGGGTTTCACCATGCAGGCTGGTCTTGCTTGACCTCAGGTGATCCACCCACTTCAGCCTCCCAAAGTGCTAGGATTACAGGCATGAGCCACGGCACCCGGCACATGAAGATACTCTCTATATCAGGTCTTCTTAAATCTACTATTTCCCCATGATCAAGGATTAACATTGTTGTGGAATCCTACATGTCAGTTCTCTAAGTATCTGGGTTGCGATTCATTTATAGGATCTAGGTATTCTTTTAATATTACTTATTTTGGGTTTAAACTACAAGTTAATCATCCTTTTATTGTTATTGTTATTTTACCATTTCCAAGATCATTCTGAGAGAGAGAAAACAAAAAGAAACATAATTTTGCTTCTGTCAAAATATTTGCTTCCATTTCCCTATAATGGGACCTGGTCACCAGCAGGTAGTGCAAAAATATTTGAACTTAGAAATGCAGGTAACTTGCTGCTGTTAAGAAAATATAGCATGAATCCTTATTGAAAAATTCAAGGATTTATATAAATATATACAGTAGAATAAAGTAGAAGTCCCTCATAATTCACCTTCCTCAAGAGTAAGAATCACTGTAGTGGGATGAATAACGGCCTCTTAAAAGATATTCCTTAGCCAGGCACAGTGGCTCATGCCTGTAATCCTAGCACTTTGGGAGGCCAAGGTGGGTGAATCACCTGAGGTCGGGAGTTCAAGGTCAGCCTGACCAATATGGAGAAACCCCATCTCTACTAAAAATACAAAATTAGCCAGGCATGGTGGCACATGCCTATAATCCCAGCTACTAGGGAGGCTGAGGCAGGAGAATCATTTGAACTGGGGAGGTGAAGGTTGTGGTGAGCCGAGATTGCGCCATTGCACTCCAGCCTGGGCAACCAGAGCAAAACTCCATCTAAAATATGTATATATATTCCTGTCTTGAACCTGTAATCCCATCACTTTGGGAAGCCAAAGTAGGAGGATCGATCGAGCTCAGAAGTTCAATATCAGC